CCTGTTTCCTCGTTGGTTGCCGTTGTTTGTCGCATTATCCAATCTACTGCAATCAGGAAGATCATTGGTGATAGTAGACAGCCTTGCTTCACTCCCGTCCTCACTTCGAAGGCCTCCGCAAGTTTCCCGATGTGGATTACTTGGCATGCAGCATTGTCGTATAACTGTTGGATGAGATGTATATTTGTCGTTGGGACCCCGTAGTAGCGAAGTAGCTTCCAAATCACCTCTCGATCAACGCCGTCGAAGGCTTTCTCAAAGTCGATGAAGTTGAGATAGAGAGGTGACTGTCATTCCAAGCTTTGTTCAATGATGATCCGTAGTGTGGCGATTTGATCAATACATGATTTGTTTCTCCTGAATCCGGCCTGTTCCGGTCGAAGTTTTTCATCCAGGTTGGCGTGTTTGATTCTCTCCAGGATGATGCGACTTAGTATCTTGCTTGGAATGGACAGAAGCATAATTCCACGCCAGTTTTTACATTGACTTAAGTCTCCTTTCTTTGGAAGTTTGAATAAGTATCTGTTCTTCCAATCCTCGGGTACTTTGCCCTCTTTCCACACCTTCTCCAGCAGTAGTGTCATCAAGTCCGCTGTTGTCTCTGGGTCTATTTTCAAAGCTTCTGCTGGGATTCCATCTGGCCCCGGTGTTTTCCCAGCTTTAAGCATCTTGATTGCATTCAGGACTTCTGATTTCGTCGGAGGGTCAATGTTCACTGGTAGTTCTGCTTCCGTTGTTGGTATTGCTGGACGTGTTGTAGGTGGCGGACGATTTAGAAGTCTTTTGAAGTGTTCAACCCAGTGCTTTCTCTGTTCCACCTCTTTGGTGATTGACTTTCCATTGTCGTCCTTTATTGGCTTAATCTGTGTCGAACGTTTGCCCGAAAGGTTCCTAGTTGTTTGGTAGAGTGTGGCGAGGTCTCCTTTGCCTGCAGCTTGTTCTGCTTCGTTTGCCATGGTTTCATAATATTTTCTTTTGTCTTCCCTGGCACTCTTCTTCACTCTTTTGTTCAGTGTATTGTAGCTTGCATTCAACTCCTGTTTTTGTTGCTCGTCAGTGCACTGGATAATCTTTTGCTTCACTGTCCTTCTCTCTTCTATTAGTTTCCAAGTGTCCGTAGTGAGCCACTGTTTGTCCTGCCTCTTTTTTCTGCCTAGAATTTCTATGCAGGTTTGACTCCACACCGTCTTCAAGTTGTTCCAGTGTTTTCGACGCTGACCCACTCACCATATCCTGCCACTTAACGCAAGAAGCAGAATACAAACGTCTGCCGTTAAAGTAGGCTATACACTCATAAGTTTTATCCCCTCCAGTATATAAATACTGACTATTTTATGCCGGATGATGTTTTCATCACGAAGTTAGTTTAAAACATCTATAGTTAAAACAGAGTGTAGCATTTCAACCTGTACATTAGTGAGAAAATGACTCAATATCAGAGGATTCTGAAAAGGTGTTCTTCTTTACAGGTTGTCACTTTTTTTCAACACAAACACACAGAGGTTTAACACAGAAGCGTTAGGTTAGGCAAAGTTAAACTTTAAGCACCAGTAACTACCAGTCAGCAGATAACCTTGAACGGACCAATCACATGAAAGAGGCTATTTGTGGGAAAAATGCACATACGACAAGAACATCTCCCAGTTAAGCACAGAAGTATCAATAGAAAAGTTACACCACATTCTATACATATAATCATCTAAAAATAACATCACTTTGCGATTTATTAATAGCTCTAATCTTGTTTTTTTAACCTTCCTTAATATCCTTCAATAGAAGTGGTGTGTTTTCTTGTATTTGGGTTCACAAGATGATTAGAATGGTTGATTCTACGGCGAATATATCTAAGAGATGACTAGTAGTTTTAACGCTTCCGCTCATTTAGGTTAAGAAAAGATGGGACGATGTATGATGGATATGTCCATCAAAAGACTTGCTGAGGCTTCTTTTATCGTCACCACACCTCCACATGAACAAATTTGTTCTTTCCCAACCAACCCCATATCTAAGCAATGTTAGAAGACTTGATCCTCACCACATTACAAACGCAACTGTATTAGAGCAGGCATTTGACTCGAAACAAGCTGATTAGACGCTTCAGATCACGTGAATAAAACATACTGGATCATTCAAGGTCAATGGTGTAGCCACATTCCATTGGTGGTTATTGGTGTTTAAAGTTTACCCTTTCCTTATTGATCAGATAATGAGATGAAATTCTAGCTTCTATCACTTCCGTCTCAATAAAATATAGCAGTCATCTAATGTCCAGGGCTTAGGGGCACGAAGCTTTGAAAGTTGATGAATTGTCCATTCCATGTAGGCTTTTTGTATGTGGACCTTTCGTAATTCCTTGATGTCAAATTGTGTATATTCATCTATATTTGATTTGTAAAGATTAGTTTTGTATGAGTGTGTTTGTGTATGTATGTTATTTTTCATATGGAAAGACGTTAATTCACATGTGATAAACATGATAATACGTTTTTTGAAAGGTCATGGAGGCTCACAGAGTGTTTATTGTTTCTTCATCTGTCGTGCTTCATAAGAGTTTGCCATATAGGTGACAAGTCTATCCCCTCTTTCCTATTCACTGCATTCGCTGTGGTTAAAATATGCAAGGCTTCACAGGTCAATCTTTATTTTTATGAATAAATCCCCTTCCGAGAATTTCGACATTGTTGAAATTAACCTTATGATTGCTGTCCACAGATCGCTTGCATTGCTGCAGCCGATCTTTCTTCTGGACTTTTTAATTCTACTTCATTTCTAGGTGGACGTTTCGTGTATAGTCTATGTTCATTCACCCTGACCTTCACCTGTCTACTGCTCTCCCCTCTATAGCAAGCTTCACATTCTGAACACTTTATCCTATAGGCACAATTACTTTGTGACATTTTGAGAACCATATCCTAGACACTTATTAGAGCTCTCTCCAGAGAATTGGAGAGCTTGAAATATACTTTAATAGTGTTTGAAGCATATAGTCCTTGAAGTTGTTCAGGTACGTCCGTTCCATATGGAATGACTATCGTCGATAGCCAAGATTTTTCAATCTTTTGTTTTCCCTTATGCTTCTTTCTATTGATAAAATTATCTAGTAGCTTTTCCGGATAACCATTTCCAATTAAAATCTGTTTTATATTGCATATCTCGTTCTCCATATCGTCATTATCTGTTATAATGTTTCTAGCTCTGTTAACGAGATTTAAAGCTACTGAAACTTTCATTCCTATTGGATTATCTGATTGGAAATTCATATACTTGTTAGAATTTGTCGGTCTTCTGTATATGGTAAACTTTAGTTTCTCGTCAGTTTGTCTTTTTACAAGACAATCAAGAAAGTGTAGAGTTCCCTCCGTCGATTCTACTTCATTAGTAAACTCTATATATTCTGAGATTAGGTTAATCTCTGTTAGACTGTTTTCTTTTTCAGCTTTCTTTTTGATGCTAAATGTGTCATCTACATATATGTACCATATTCTAGGCTGACAACTAATAACTTGTCAATGCTTTCCTTTCTAGGGCTTTCATATCCTGGTTTGCTACAATTGGAGATGCTGGTGAACCCATTGAAACCCCATTTGTCTGACAGTATAGTTTGTTTCAGGATTTCATCATGAGCTGACATTAGTTAGAGAACCACTGGAAAACCTGGGAGTACTGGACAGCTGTTTCGTCCTAGTTTGGGACTCTTCATCAGTACGCACCCACCGGGATTCGAACCCAGGACCTTCCGGTTACAAGGCGAGCTCGTATACCATTAAGCCACTGGGACCCGATCCAATGGTCCTTGAATTTTAACTTCTGCCAATTCACGACATAGCGCGACCGCTAGCCAATGTCTTCGGCGAGTATTTGTCCTTAAAGGTGAAATCTGTAGATTCTAAACAAACCTTTAAGCATTTTATAACTTCATCTATTAATAGCAAGGATCTAGTTAATACTTCCTGATTCTTCTCAAGTTCATATTTCATAATATCATCAAGTGAACCACATATAGGAAGGAATATCAGTAAATAGAGAAACCGCATCAAAACTTGCCATAATTTTGTCTTCTTCAATACCTATGTCCATTACTTTCCTTTTAAACTTCTCAGTATTTTTAATGTTCGAATGCTGAAGAAGCTGGCTGTGGCAGCTTACACAGCGAAACGTTCAGAAAACAGATCTTGTTTTGATTTTTTAAACACGCTGGGATTATTATTATTATATCCTTTAATTCCTAGAGGAACATAGGGCTTCAGCTGCGCGTCGCCAATCCATTCGGTTCTCTGCCAATGTTTTCACCTGGCTCCACGTCTGCCCACATGCTTTCATCTCCTCCTCACATGACCTCCTCCAAGTCACCCTTACATTAACGACCAACTCGCCACTTCCCTTTCGGGTCCCACTTGAGCAGTGACTTGTCTAGTGATGTTACTTGATAATTTCCTCAGTGTATGGCCAATCCATCTCCTGCATTTCTTCCTGCCTATTTGTTCCTGGTTGGTTCGCTCCAGAGATCTGTGTTGCTGATCTTTTCTGGTCATCTGATCTTGAGAATTGAGTGAAGACAACTGTTAATGAAGGTCTGAAGTTTGTTGGAGATGCTTTTTATGACGCGCCAAGTCTCTGATCCGTATAGTAGCACTGACTTCACATTGCAGTTGAAAATCCGGATCTTATTTTTGATGCTGAGTGCTGAGTGTTGACCTCCACACAGACTTAAGGGTAATGAAAGCCTATCTTACTTTTCCGATTCTGGCTTTGATATCTTCGTCAGTTCCGTCCGTCTGTAGTTGAAACGATGCTTCCCAGGTAGTTAGGTGAAGGAGGTTGTTTCTTTCAGGTTCCTCCCATTTATGCTGACTGTCTGCTGTTGCTGTTGCTGTTGTTGCTGGGATTAATTCAAACAATTTATAATGTTAATTCGTTTATTGTTGTTTGTTTTTTCTAAATATAATTTCCTCATCAGTCTAACTTTCGCATTATTCTGCTCATTTTATTTTCTTATTCAGGGATCATTGGTTGAAATTCATCGTAAAGAATTATCCCTATTAAAAGAACAATTATTACAATATGGAGTCAATCAAAATTAAAGTTACGCGCTTTATTTCTTTATCTCTTTTTTTCAATATAAATAAATAATTAATTGTACAGTATGCATAATTGTTTCTATTCAATATGTCAACATATTTTTGTTCTTCGAAAATGACAAAGTGTAGATCAACAGGGAAGAAATAGAGTTTTATTAAATCAAAAAAAAAAAGAAAAAGAAAAGAGAGTAGTGAACGAAGAAGATAGGCAGATGCAGAATTTATAAAACACTCAACTGCTTGTTTTGATGAATATGTTCAATTGTTCAATAATTTTTCTTTTCATTATTCACCCCCTTTTTTATTTTCAAATTCTATCTCCTCTTCTTTTTCCCGTTGTTTTAAATTATTATTATTATTATTATTATTAATAGTATTACTGAGTAAAAAGTTGTATATGAGAATAAGAGTAAAACTATGTATATTTCAAAAATTGTTACCTTCTGATTACTATTATATTATTATTTTTTAACTCCTAGAGGAACATAGGGCTTCAGTCGCGCGTCGCCATTCCGTTCGGTTCTCTGCCAACGTCTTCACCCTGCTCCAAGTCTGCCCACATGCTTTCATCTCCTTTTTCACATGACCTCCTCCAAATCACCCTCACATTGATGACCAACCCGCCTCTTCTCTTTCGGGTTCCACTCGAGCAATGGTTTGTCTAGTGATGTCACTCACTTGATGGTTTCCTCAGAGTATGGCCGATCCATCTCCATTTCTTCCCGCATATTTGTTGCACAATCGGTTCCTGGTTAGTTCGCTCCCAGAGATCCCTGTTGCTGATCTTTCCTAGCCACCTGACCTTGAGTATTGAGCAAAGACAACTGTTAATGAAGGTCTGTAGTTTGTTTGAGATGCTCTTCATGACGCGCCAAGTCTCTGATCCACCCGTATACTGAGTAGCGCTGACTTCTATTTGGAGTTGAAAATCTGAACCTTATTTTCATTTTCTTGTTGAGTACTGTTGACCTCCACACAGACTTCAGAGGGATGAAAGCTTGTCTTGCTTTCTCGACCTCCGATTTGATATCCTCATCAGTCCCGTCCACCTCTAGTTAAAAGGATGCTTTCCAGCTAAGTAGGTAGGTGAAAGAGGTTATTTCTTTCGAGTTCCTCCCATTTATGCTGATTGTTTTCTTTTGTCTGTTGTTATCGCTGTTGCTGTTGCCCAGGAATCTTCATCACCTAACTCTGTTTTCTCTATAAGAATAAAACTTGGGCACTGTGGTAGAGTGTAATTCCATTATGGGTAAATTTTGTTCTGATAAAGTCTCACAGTGTTATACAGTAATGTTTACTATCAGTAAACATTTCTGTTTTCTCTATGTTTACTTGAAATCCTATCTTCGATGCTTCTTCTATCGCCAACTTGTTGCTTTTCACTTGCATATCTTCCAGTTTGTGGGAAATCAGATATATATCATAGTCGAAGTCCAGATCCTCCAAGTTTTTCGTGAGGGGCCAATTTTCGCCAGTTTCCTCGCTGCCCGCTTTCTGTCGCATTATCCAATCTACTGCAGTCAGAAAAATCATTGGATATAGTAGGGAGCCTTGTCTTACTCCCGTCTTTACTTCGAAGGATTCCGTAAGATTCCCGTTGTGGATTACTTAGCAGGCAGCATTGTCGTGCAAATGTTGGATGAGATGTATAATTGTCGGCGGCACACCCTAGCAACGAAGTAGCTTCCAAATCACCTCTCGATCGACGCCGTCTGTCGAAGGCTTTCTCAAAGTCGATGAAGTTGAGATAGAGAGGTGACTGCCATTCCAAGCTTTGTTCAGTGATGATCCATAGTGTGGCGGTTTGATCAATACATGACTTGTTTCTCCTGAATCCGGCCTGTTCCGATCGAAGTTTTTCAACCAGGTTGGCGTGTTTGATTCTCTCCAGGATGATGCGGCTTAGTATTTTGCTTGAGAAGGACAGGAGCATAATGTCGCGCTAGTTTTTGCATTGAATAAAGTCTCCTTCCTTTGGTAGTTTGAATAAGCGTCCTTTCTTCCACTCCTCGGTTATTTTGACCTCTTTCCACACCTTCTCCAATAATGGCGTTACCTTCTGATTGGACACTAGTATGCAACTAGTGTAATGTGTGTGTAGTCCTCTATCTGGTGCAGACTGAATTCCGTCAGTCACGTTTGCAATGTGGCCACTATTCTACATAGCTTACCACCACGATCCACTCTGGATCTTTGATATTAGATGGTTGGATGGAGCCTCACCTAAGTTTTGTGCTATTTGGCAGTCAGAAGTCAGCAAGGCGTACCAGTAACCCTGAAGGATCTCCTCATATCCCTCCTTTTGAGACTCTAACTTATGTCACTCAGTGCTGAGGTCAGAAGCGCCACCACTGAACTATTCGGGCTCGCGATGAACCTCCTGTAAAACTGTACTGGATACTTTCATTTGACAAAAGTTAGTAACTAGTGTTTATTGTGCCTAGTCCTCTGTTTGGTGCAGACTGAATTCTATCACTCAGTGGTAACTTCTCTGACTGCAATACAGACTAGGTGACCAAAGGTTGGAATCTAAGAAGGACGGACATGGGTCCCCTCAAGACATTTGCAGACACACCTTGCTGACTTATGAGTGCCATCTAGCACGAAACCTAGGTCAACAATGGTTTGAGCTTCCTGCCAATTGCTTCCAACCATCTAATTTTGTTGTCCTCATAAACATCTGGCTGTCATAACTTTGACAAAAGCCATTCTCTCTTAGGAGTTCCTCATTGAACCTCTATTGGCTGATGAATTCAAGCATTCGTGAAGGCAAGTGTGTGGTAGGAGCGTCTCCTAACTCTACATTGTGTAAGATTTCGTCAAGACGTTGACAATCCTAGAGATTGTCTCCCATTTAAGCGTCCCAAAAGGATTACTTGCTTCTAGAGTGAACACTTATGCGCCGTAACTTAGTTTTTCAATTCCTGTGGTAGAGCTAGAAATTCTGAACATGGATCAATTACCCTATTTTCATGGAAGTTAGTTACAACGTACAGTGACCGTGTTTTTTTTAAATGTCTGGTGAAAAGGAGACGTGCAAAGTAGGAAAATTAGTCAATTGAATACATATAGTTTTGAGTGTCTTGTCATATATCGTAGAAATAATTTATGTTGAAATATAGTAACAACAGCAAATGAACAAATCCAAAATTGGAGATTGAAGTGTTGGCTTGTAGGGATTTGATTGATTAAAGGATTTCACCATGAGCTGACATTAGTTAGAGAATCATTGGAAAACCAGTTGGGAGTAGTGGACAGCTGTTTCGTCCGAGTTTGAGACGAGCTCGCTTTGTAACCAGAATGTCTTGGTTTCGAATCCCAGTGGATGCGTACTGCTGAAGAGCGGCAAACTAGGATGAAACGGCTGTCCAGTACTCCCAGCTGGTTTTCTAATGGATCTCTAATTAATGTCAGCTCATGATGAAATCCTGTAACCAAAATTGGGGAATTATTCCCCGCTGCAGTGTAAATATTCAAATATATATATTTATACATATGTGAGGGAAAATGTGAATGAACTCTCAGAACATGCCTCATCATCAATGGTGATTCGTAACTTTAGTAAATTTTTTTACTGTCATTACATTCATTAATCTGGATGGTTTAATTTACCAGACTTTCGTTGTTCTCCTTCCAGACAATGTCTTCAGTGTCTACTTCAAAAGGAATTGAAGTTTCCAAACCCTTCATGTATGAAATAAGCATCTTACTTAATAGCCTGTTTCAATAAATAGGTTACCTTGATTTCTGTCACTAATAATGCCTCTACAGTTTTTTGATAATAATAATAATAATCTACTTTATTTCAAAAACATTACTTATAATACAGGATGGAATTCTCAGCATTTGTCACAATATTGCATTTGACTCACGTAAAATATAAATAAAATTAAAAATTAGAACAAAAGTAACCAGAGGAATTTGTCCACGTCTACGATATAAAGTCAAAAATATTCGAAGCACAAGTTGAGAATATTAAATATAATGATAATGGCAGTGAGTTTGTTTCAAAGAGTATCGTAGATTTCGTTTGGAATTTTGAGTATGTTATAGATTATTATTAGGCGAGCGAGCTGGTTGACCATTAAGCCAATTAGACCCAATTCAATGGCCAGTCAGTCCATGAATTCTAACTTCAGACAATTTATGATATAGAATGGACACTAAGAAATGTCTTCTTCGATGAGTAACTGTTCTTACCGTCAACTTGCTTTGCCCTACTGGTCAGGAATTCCCACGAGAACCTCAAGTAACTACCTACCTGAATACGGCCAGTTGCTAGTGAGCATCAGATCAGTTTTCAAGTGTAGGCTTTGTGGGAATTTCATCATGAGCGAAGTGATCACGCTATGCTGCTAAATGACAGAAGTTAGACTTTATGGACTGGCCATTGGATCTGGTTCCAGTGGCTACTTAATGGTTGACGAGCTCGCTAACCTTGTAACTATAATGTCCTATGTTTGAACCTCAACCGGTGGGTGCATACTAATGAAAAGTCCAAAACTGGGGCTGAGGGAACACCTGTCCAGTACTCCTCTAGCTGGTTTTCCAATGGTTCTGAAATCCTCCAACTAATTAAAACTTCATACGCTTCGTTCAGCCTCCTCTTAACTAATAATCTTATTTAATTATTTATTTATTTAGAATATTTATGCTGTCATAAATTTTAAAATTCGCACAATCATACATTTGGCGCATGTAGATCTAGACATTCGATATACCCTTTTAATTCATTGTTTATGTGAAACATATGTGAAAAAAAGGATACACACATTTGTTATGATTTTTTATAGGCTACTGGTGTTTATGTACATGTGGGTGTGCGTGCGAGCGACGGGGTATGTAACCATAGCAAATATGATTTTCCATTGTCTTCATGTGATCACTCAATACACATATAATAGAATATAAATTTGAATAAGGCATTTAGAAGAGAAATTTCGCGAGATGATGGCATCATTTCGTAGTTTCTTTACAACCGATTTACAACCAACATGGTTAAC